AATGATCTCCATTTCTTCAGACTATACCATGGCTTTGGCTGTTTCATTTGTATCACGGATCCTGGTAGGAGCCTACAGTACAGAGAAGAGCAGAGCTGTGGAAGGGGGAACTGGGAGGAAGGAGTGTGTGAATATATGAGGGACCCCTGCTACCCTAGGGCAGCGGTTCTCAACCTGTGGGTCGTGACCCCTTTGGGGATCGAATGGTGCTTTCACAGGGGTCGCCTAAGACATAACAGTAGCAAAATTACAGTTATAAAGTAGCAACAAAAATAATTTTATGGTTGGGGGGTCACCACAACATGAGGAACTGTATTAAAGGGTCGCAGCATTAGGAAGGTCGAGAACCACTGCCCTAGGGGCTCCCAGAAAGCTAGAGGTGTCCTCACTATGTTAGTAGGTTGTAGGTAGAAGAATCCACTGACATTCAAGTTATTTTACTGTATCTGACCCATTAGTGCTGTAGCCAATGAGTTTGAATGCTATTCCTAATTAAATAGCTCTTATGCAATGGTGTGTTATTGGGTAATTTATAATTATTAATTACCAAGCAAGAAGGAAAGAACTATAGAACACTGGCTCTCAATCCATGAAGAGCCAATTTTTAAAAATTTCCAGAAGACTGATATTTTTACAAAATACATAAAAGTGAGTTACCAAAATAATAAAATAAACTGATGAAATAAAAAATATATATATAAGCCCCGCCTGGCCGGTGTGGCTCAGTGGTTGAGCATTGACCCATGCACCAAGAGGTCGCTGGTTCAATTCCTAGTCCGGGCACGTGACCAGGTTGTGGCCCCAATCCCTAGTTGGGGGCATGTAGGAGGCAGCCAGTTGATATTCTCTCTCATGGATGTTTCTGTCTCTCCCTCTCCCTTCCTCTCTCTCTAAAAATCAATCAATAAAAAAATATATAAGCCCAAATTTTTTATTATTAGATTCAACAGACATAAAATTACTCTGTCAAGTTGTGTTAAAAGTTTTCAGTACTTATCTAATTGCAGATTGGTAATGAACAGTTCGTGGATGGGCTCTGGTCTGTAGACCATGCTTCCTGAAGTTTTATGAACTTTTCACCTGATGCCACCTGAAGGAACTCCATCACCTGGAGGTCCTGCCTCTAGTCACACACATTAGTGAGTGGGATGATGATGACACTGCGACACTGTGGTCATGTAGGAGTGTGCCCTTGTTCTAAATAGATGTGTCAGAGTATTAATGTCTGCAACTAAAGGAAGAGGGAGAGAGAAAAGAGGGAGAGATTAAGGGGGGGGCGGTGAATAGGTGAATAAGGGGAGAAGGAGAAGAGGAAAGGGAGGGGGAGGAAAGAGACCAGAGAGGAGAAGGTGACAGAGAAACACAGCCTGCCCAAATGTAGCAAAATGTTAGTAACTGATGGATCTACACAGGTGTACAGGTATTTATTATGCAATTCTTTAAAATTATCAAAACATTTGTAGTTTAAAAAATAACTTTCCAGTGATGGGAAACACCTTTTTCTCCAAAAAGCCAGGTCCAAGATAGCTCATTTTACTCTTCAGTATGTGTAATGCAGCTCAAACATTCGTTTGTGGTTTTGATACCTGCCATTACCACATGTCTGATCTCCATTCCCATTTCACTCCTCTTACCATAGCTGCTATGTAGTAGATACCTTTGCAACCTAAGTTTAATTATATCACTCCTTTAAAAAATATCTCACTATATACCTGTTGTCTTTCAAAGTAGAACTTTTATTTTTTATCCTCACCCAAGGACATTTTTGCATTTATCTTCAGATAGAGCGGGAGGGAGAGAGAGAGGAAGAGAGAGAGAGAGAAACATCAATGTGAGAGAGACACATTGACTGGTCGCCACCCACACGACCCCAACTGGGGCCGGGGACAAACTGCAACTGGGGTATGTGCCCTTGGCGGGAACTAAACCTGGGACTCTCTGGTCCACAGGTTCACGCTCTAACCCCTGAGCCAAATCAGCCAGGGCTCAAAGTAGAACTTTTTATTCAAGGATTTCTGCAATCTAATCTTTAACTCTTGTTTTAGCTTTCTAGGTTTGCTTTCTCATGGTTAATTAACACTATCACAAATATTTATGCTTTTCCATGTTATTGCTTCTCAGTTCTAGAATTTCCCCTTAAACGGAATTACATTCTATATACTCGTCAAGATCAAGCCCAAATTAATTAAACTAAGATGTAATTATGTTATTGGAGAAATGTATCGATGGCCTTTCATTCGCTCTTTCCAGCTATTTTATAACTAGTTAATTACAGTGGTATCAGTTATATATCTTACTATACACTTGTTTAAATCTTACACTTTTCATGAAATTTTCCTTGATTAACTCAGCCAAACATTAACCCTAATCTCCAGGGCTTAATCCAGTGCTTGGCACATACACTTAATAAAAGTATATATATATATATATATATATATATATATATATATATATATACACTTTTCAGTGAAACTCTCTAATAGTTCTTAAATTATACAGGATGATAATACATTACTTACATTACTTGTCTATGTCAAAGAGTGGCTTTAAGGTTAAAATGTCTGAGGTTAGCCCGACCGGTATGGCTCAGTGGTTGAGTGCCGACCCATGCACCAAGAAGCCGCCAGTTTAATTCCCGGTCAGGGCACATGCCCAGGATGTGGGCCCAATCCCCAGTGGGGGGCATACAGGAGGTGGCCAATCGATGTTCTCTTTCATTGATGTTTCTATCTCTTTCTCCCTCTCCCTTTCTCTCTCTAAAATCAATAAAGAAAAAAAAAATGTTTGAGGTTAGTATTTTGCATTATATGTGTCTGAAGGTATCTGTAAACCATAATGCTTTATACTGTTGTTTATTATTTTTATTTTTGCTTTCCCTTGAGGCAACATATAGAACATATAATAGCTGACCAAGGCCTAAGGCAGTGGACATAATACTGGGGTACTCATGCTATTTGAAAACTTTCCAAGATGTGCATGAGCATGGAGAATGTGTTTTAAAGTAGTCAGTTCTCTGATCCTCACTTCCTTAGGTAGCCATCCCTAAAACTGATGCCTGAAAATGTGCCCAGGGTCAAAGTGACAGTACCCTCCTATCCAGCTTTCCTTATCCCAACTGTCCCTCCCTACTTTACAAAAGAATGACATAATTCTTTCCCAGTCCCAATCTTTCTAAAGCATAATACCTGCAGGGATACAAAACTTTCAGGACAACAAAAAAAGAAACTATTGACTGGGGAAAGAGAATGGGTTGGTTAACACATCCTTTTATAAGGCAGATGATTTTCAGTTACTTATTTCAACAAAATTGTAAGAGAAGCTAATCAGAGTTGTCAGCTGATAGATCATTAAAAGTATTTTTTTCTTAGATCTTTATGTGATTTTTTTGGCATGTAGTTTGAAAGGAGTTTCAAACAATGACATTACTATAATAAAAGTCCATTCTCATCAACTTATATACATGGACAAGTTTTTTCTTTCTTTCTTTCTTTTTTTATCCTCAACCGAGGACATTTTTCCATATTTTGTTCAGATAGGGGAGGGGGATGTGAAAGGGACACATCGAGTGGTTGCCACCGGCACAACCCAACCAGGGCCGGGGACAAATTGCAACCGAGGTACATGCTCTTAGCGGGAATCGAGCCCAGGTCTCTCTGGACCGCAGGTAAATGCTCTAGCCGCTGAGCGTAACTGGCCAGGGCTGGACAAGTTTTTTCAATGCTTACATCCATGGAATTGAAAACTTGGAGAAGAATTGATGCTGAATACATTCTCATTCTAGTAATAATCCCCACAGATAAAATAAACTGGTTGAAAAAATTCATTCAATTCCATCTCTGTAAGATGCATTTCCAATAAAATTTTACTTTCATGTTTAATATTTATAAATATTTGCAATATATTTATTTTATCAGTTGAAACAATAAAACTTTTCCTGTGATCATAAACCTTTCCTGTTTTATGATCACAGAAAATTTAAAAACTACCCTTAAATTTCTTAAAAAAAAATTGTTCTTTAAAAATTAATTTTAGGGAGAGGAAGGGAGAGGGAGAGAGAGAGAGAAACATCCATGACAGAGAAGGTGATTGGCCAATGGCCGGCCCTGCACGCCCCCCACTGGGGATTGGCCCGCACCGGGCATGCGCCCTGACCCGGAATCGGAACCCGCGACCTCTTGGTGCAGATGGTCGACGCTCAACCATTGAGCCACACTGGCCCGGCCAAAAATACGATTAAGGTAAAACTCTGGAGAGGATGTGAAATGTAAAGATCAGTTCAGACGATAAAGGATGAAAACAGGCCAAGGCTGTATTTTAAAAAGTAGATATTGGTGGTTAATAAATCCGTATGGTAGAGTTCACTGGCTACATGTTAAAAAGTGTGGCAGTTATAAAATATTTGTAACGAGTTGGAAGAAATGTAGATATCCCTTTAAACTGTAGTTTTAAAGGGCTCACGAGCCCAAAAGTTTGAAGCTCTTGAGCCTGAAAGCGGTGCTTGGTCTGATCAGAGACTGTGACTTAACTATTCCTAGTGGGATTCAAGCGCAGGTTAGAGGAAAACTTGTGGCTCTGCGTCGCGCATTAGCATTTGGTACTTTGCATTGTATTATTTATTGTTGTGCATTTTGATCACCTCTCCTCATAGACTGCAAGCTCTCAATAGACCAGGGAGCTGTTCGATTTCTGGCTCAGAGCTGTACCCTGGGGACAGTCCCCAAACACCCCTGGAATGAATGACTTGATCGTGAGAACTCGGAGGGCTGTTAAAATACCCAGCAAGCACTCAGGTTTCTGTTCTTCGTGTCCCGCCCGCTGCGAGGCCGGGGAAGGCGTGGGAAGGCCCGAAGGAAACTCTGAGCACTGGGCGGGCGAGGAGGGGCGGGGCGCGGGCCGGGCGGGGACCCTGGTGGGGGCGCGGGCGCGGAACCCGCGGCCGGGGGAGGTGCCACCTCGCGCCGCCGCGCAGGCGCGCAGCCGTCTCCGCGTGAGTGCTGTCCCCGCGCGGGCTCCGTAGCGCGTGTGCAGGCTGACGCAGCTCGCGGGCCCTCCTCTGGCTCTGCAGCGGCGTCGGTGGACTTTTGGGCGTTTGGGAGGGGGCGAAGGAGCGCGAGTCGGGAGAGGGAGGCGGCGGCGGCGGGAGGAGGAGGAGGAGCAGGCGCCGCCATGGCCGCCGCTATCACCGACATGGCCGACCTGGAGGAGCTCTCCCGCTTGAGCCCTCTGCCCCCCGGCAGCCCCGGCTCGGCGGCGCGGGGCCGGGCTGAGCCCCCCGAGGAGGAGGAAGAGGAGGAGGAGGAGGAGGAAGAGGAGGCGGAGGCCCAGGCGGTGGCAGCGCTGCTGCTGAACGGCGGCGGTGGGGGCGGTGGAGGCGGCGGCGGAGTGGGGGGCGGCGAGGCGGAGACGATGTCGGAGCCGAGCCCCGAGAGCGCCAGCCAGGCCGGGGAGGACGAGGACGAGGAGGAGGACGAGGACGAGGAGGAGGAGGACGAGAGCAGCAGCAGCGGCGGCGGCGAGGAGGAGAGCAGTGCCGAGAGCCTGGTGGGCAGCAGCGGCGGGAGCAGCAGCGACGAGACGCGCTCGCTGAGCCCCGGCGCCGCCAGCAGCAGCAGCGGGGATGGGGACGGCAAGGAGGGCCTGGAGGAGCCCAAGGGACCGCGGGGCAGCCAGGGCGGCGGCGGGGGCGGCAGCAGTAGCAGCAGCGTCGTCTCCAGCGGCGGCGACGAGGGTTACGGGACCGGGGGAGGCGGAAGCAGCGCGACCTCCGGGGGCCGGCGAGGCAGTTTGGAGATGTCGTCGGATGGGGAACCCCTGAGCCGCATGGACTCGGAGGACAGGTAAGTGCTCTGACGCCTTCCCCTTCCCGTCCTCCGCTAGCACTCCTGGGCTAAGGGGACTTTTTGCTGAGATCCTCCTGCTCCCCAATTCCTCGGCCCCTCCCCCAGGCTCTCAACTCGGAAACCTCCCCGGCCGCCCCGCCCCTCTCGCTGCGGATAGCGGCTTCAAACTCGCAAACCATTTTCCCCCCAACTCTCCGCTCCGCGCCCTCTTTCCCCCTGGCTCCGCTCTCCGTGCCGACCTCAGGACAGCTCTCACTCGGAAACAGCCCTCAAAGTAGGCCCCGATCCCCTGTCGGAGCTGAAGAGGCCCTTGATGTACACACCTCGGTACACAAGGTTAGCTTCTACCGTGTGCGCGAACACTTGTCAGAACTATAATTGACAAGTGTTTTCCAACATGGCTGGTCTCGCTTGGATTTCACAGAACTTCCTTGTTCAGGGAAGAGACCCCAGCTATCACTCTTCTCTCCTTAAGAAAGACAAGACTATTCTTTTACGTTTAATCAGTGCTTCCAGAATTCCTCGTGTAGTCGTTAATATGGTCTCCAAAGTGTTTAAATAACTTCTGTTTGTTTTGTGATCAAATCTGGGGGAAAGTTTAAAAACGAATAAATCATTGTAGAAAAGAGAAATGAACTTTGGCTTTTAAAATAACTTGGCGGAATCGAAGAGAGTTGGAATCGGAACAAAATACACTCTTGAAGGTACAACATGATAGTAGGCGGTTTAATATATATAGTTATGCCTCAATGTGAGTTATGATTTTAGATCACTGGAAGTCATGTATTGGGAGAGATCTCTGAAGGAATTACCATTTTTCTAAAGTCTGTTATAAGAAACGTTGAGACTGACAAAAATGCGCTTCATTTTTTTCGGGACATTAAAAAATTATCGCAATAGTATGTTTCAGTTGTTACTATTATTTTTGATCTCTTTGGAAAACTTCATATTTTAATTTTAATTTGTCCTTAATGTATTTTAGAAAACAGAACTACTTCATTCATGTTATAGTGCTTCTGAAGTATATTAGCATTTATTTTGACCATCTGCTAATGTTTTGATGAGCAGTGGAATTTTTAACCATCTATATCGACTTGGATTTAAAAAGTTTTAAGTATTTTAAAGTTCTAGGAATTCCAATTGTTAATTGATACAAATGAACACTTTGGTTTAAGTGGAATGTAATAAGGAATACAAGCCTTAACTATTCTGGAAATATAGAATTTGAATCTGTTCCACACTTTAATATCTAGTTAAAACATCTTGGATGGGGTAAAACTCTACAAATCTTAGAAAAATTGTACTGAACTAGATAGGTATGGCAGGAAGGAGAGTGTCTTCAAGAAAATTAAAAATTGATGTGAACTGCACAATGAAGCATATGTTATTTATCATTTTATTATATCATCCTTCGTTGGTGACTGTAGATTTTTGAAAGTTGATGTAGTTCCCACAGTTCTTCTGTTTAGTTATGAACACACATACACTTGTTTAGCACTGCACAATTAAGTGTCACAGTCATTTCATTCCCAACTCTGGTGCAAGATAGGTATTGTTTTAACTTCAATTTAACAGATGAAGAAGCAAGTTGAGAGTCTTCCTAAAAACAGTAAGTATAGAATGATATGGTGGAGCTGAACAAAGGTTCTTAAGTCCCTTCCTATTTCCACTTCACAAGGATAGGAATAATTGACCTTAAATAACATGCTGTGTGTGTCAGTTTTTGTTTATTTTGAGATAATATCTGTCCACTGTATCATTTTATTAGGAGATAATGAATTGTTGGTCAAGTAATGTTTCAGGAAGAGGAGTTTGGCTTCATTTCATATTTAATAGATATTTACTTGAGTATCTATAATTTTTACAACATACTTCAGAGTAAGGAGTAAGGTATTGGTGCCACAAGTCCAAATAAGGTTAAAACTTGATAACTAAGCATACTTGCTTTTCTTAATGCTTAAGCATTGGAAACTACAAATTATTGTAATCATTTTACCATTGCAACGTAATAGATTTATCACTTGTATGAAAACGCCTTACATTAGTAGTGAAACTGGTTGTGTGGTCTTGATAATTCTTAATTCTGAAATGCCCCTTATTGCCTTTGAGTTTTTTTTAAGAGTTATTTTAAATTTGAAAAGGATTCATAATTCTTATAAACTGTTCTGCAGATTACACTATTCTATGTGGATTTTATAGATTGATTTCATGGTAGGAAGTCTTTATTTTTTTAACTGATGAAAGGATATTGTGGTTTTAAAGTGCTTTTAAAAAACTTGAGGCAATCCTATCGCAACGATTTTATCATTAGAATTTACTCTGTTTCTATTAGGATGATTGTACAGTTTTTTATATCACTTTGAAATTAGATCGTATCTTTGAGTTTAACACACTTTAATTCTTTTTAAGAAAGAATTAAATATAAAGACTTAGATCTTAAAGCTTGTGATTCAAGGTGTCACTTTATAACCTTGTATTGGAGGTGTTGTGTGATGAAAAGTGACTAATTTATAAAATGATTAAATGACAGTATGAAAAAACATTGGTTCTTTTCCCCAGGTGAGAGTTATTCAAAACCAGTGTACGTGTACTAGTATGTTTATTTTGGTAAAGTTAGAACACCTTAAAGTTGATAGGTAATTTACTTTTACTTTGGTTACAGAGATAATGAAATTTTCTTTGGGGATGGGGGTGATATTTAATGGCAAGAACACTAAAAATTAGGGTTTTTGTTACTTTGAATCTAAGCTTAAGTATTTTTTTAAAAAGTTACCACCTTTTAAGTTACTTTCACAGGCAAGTTAACTTAAATACAATATTAGAATTTAAAATACCTCAAAATTTTTTTAGTTTACAAATTAGCCCTAGCTATTGAATCAGATTGTACTTAACATGAAAGTACTCTGAGCTTCTTATCCTATATAAACGAATCGATAATAACAACCTCTATTTTGTGGTTATTTGTCTCTTTTTATATTCTGTTGTCCCTCCCTCCATTACCCCCAACTAGAATATAAGCCATGGCTTATTTTGAAAAAAGCCCAGACCTTTTTTTTAGCCACTTTTATCAGCCTTTCTGGATAAATCTAGGTGCGAAGTGAAAAGTGCATGTGTGAGGATGGGGTAAGAGGGAAGGGCATATAACATGAAGCTTATTTTAAATGCTCAGTGAAGGCCCTTGACCATTTTGTGGATCAGAATTTGTCAACTTTTTGGGTTGCAAACTTTGAGGTATAATTAACATTGCTTTGAAACTGGGAAAACAGACTTATATTGCCCAGTTTCCCTTAAGTATGATTTGGAAAATTTTTTTCTAGTGTAGAGGCTAAATTTTTAAATCAGATTAATACTAAAAGGCTGCATGTTGAGGTTATTGTCAAGATTTATTAAGGATTTGTATGTTCGAGGCAATAAAATACTTTTATGTAAACCTATTTTGATCATACTTCATAATAAAACTCCTTTTCACTATTTACCCCTTTTATCTCTGAAGCAGTTAGCTCTTCATTGTCTCTAGAATTCCTCTTTTTAACTATGCTTTTATTTTGATTAAATTTAGGGAAAAGCTTCTGATAGGTCTCAGTTTTCATAGATAATATTGTAATGCTGAGTTAAGGAGGGTATGGCAATAGTAAAAAAAAAAAATACAGATTTTAGGATTGAATTATATAGGGAGATTCTAAGGGATCATTTTACTTTTAAGAAACATTAAGACTACTTTGTCTGGTCAATTAGAGAACCCTGTGTGTAAGCTAGTTTGCTACCAAACATAGGTTGCGTATTGCTGTGAGACCTCATTCCAAGGTGTAGGTTTTGCCATAGCTTCTAGCACAAAACTTCATTGATCTAATGTAAAAAAAAGTTGGAGAGTTCATACCTTGCCTATTGTATTAATTATTTATAGTTGTGTAATGAATTTCCTAAAATTTAGCAAATTAAAAGAACAAATATTTGTTATCACAGGTATTTTCTGAGAGTTAAGCAAGAATGGAAAGGCTTAGCTAGGTGGTTCTGGCCTAGTGTCTCATGAGGTAGTGAAAATGTTGGCCAGTATTGCAGTCATCTGAAGGCTTGACTGGGGCTAGGAAACCTTTTCCAAGATGCCTCACTGAAGTAGCTGTCAACAGGGGGTCTCAGTTACCTCATCCAGTCAGGATCTCCTGAGGGCTGTTTGTGTGTCCTCCTGACCGTAGCTAGCTGGTTTCCCCCAGAGCAAGTGACCTGAGAGAGAGCAAGAAAGCAACCGCAGTGCCTTTTTCTTCTTTGTACATCTTCATTTAACAAATAACTTATTCCTATTTTTCTTTTCATTCACACTGATACACAAAAATTGCTTCAAATTTTTGATGACTGAGACCTTTCAAAACTCAACAAAATGCCACAAATCCTTTCCTTGTCTTTTAAAACCTGGCTTTATTTTCTTTTTCTCTTCAATTTGATTCTCTTATTTTTTTCTCTCCTTTTATGGCTCTATTCTATAGGTGGAAGGATGTAGAATATTACACTATAAAGAGCCTGTAATCTGGAGTCAAAGGGCATAGTTCAAATTTTAGTCTTGCCTGTATTATGATTTTAAGTAATATCTTTGAGCCTTACTCAGTTCCTCAACTGCAAAATGGGTTTAGTTTTTACCATAACAGCATTCTAAGGTCCAAATGAATTTCTGTTAACTACTCCTGTGACTCTTCTGAAGAATCCATGTTATGTGGATGCTTCCTTTATCCTTTTTTGTTGTAGAATGGTACATTTTTGAGAGCAGGGACAGTTTAGCTTGTTTAGTGAGCACTCAATTATTAGAATTAAATTGAAATACCAACAGTAGACTTTATATAAATAAAGGACACTATAAACTGAGGGCCAAGAATTGGTGTCCATGGTTGGGTCATTGTTTTTGGTATTGATGAGTGTAAGGACAGCTTTGCCTATGAGATTATATGCAAAATTTTATGTGGGTGTTTTTCTCTGGGAAGATGTCCACAACTTTTATTAGATTTTTA